GCCGGGCGTGGCCTCTCCCGGGTGGGTACCTCGGGCGGGTGCTTGGGAAGCGATTGCGCGGCATCCACCGCCGAGAAGGGCAGACGTTCTGCGAGGCTGTGGAGGAGCTGTCTGGGCAGCTGCGGCCCCCGGCACGCGGCTTAGGATCCCCCTGCAATATTTGTGTAGGTATGTGTGCCCGGCTAATGCGGGAAAGAGACTGGGAACCTGAGCTCTGGGGAGGAGATCTTGAGCCGAAACCCGGCTTGGCCACTGGTTTGCTCTGGGCTGTGGATGAGGCCCCTCACCCTTTGCAGCGTGTTACCTCGCGTGCCCGTGGTCACCGGCGGTAGCAAATGGCAGACGGCACCGGCTTGTGGGGTGGGTGGTGGTTTCTGCGTGCAGCATTTGGAACACGCGTTTCTTTAATATGTTTGTCATTGGATTTAGGAAAAAAGACTACGTGACCGAAAGACTGAGACGGAAGACAGTTTACTGAAGCGTTTGACTGCGGCCCGCGTAGATTTGGAACTCAGTAAGTCCAGGGGCCTTCGAGTGACGTGTGCAGGGAGAGGGGATGTGCTGGTGATTTAGGAGCTGGTTTTTGCGTGAGCGTTCTCCGAGGAGTGCTGGCAGGGCTTGGACGTTAGCTGGGTTTGATCTGAGCGCCATGCTGCGTCGTTTCCCGCTGCAGTTCCTCGTGGGCCGTTGGCAGAGAAGCGCATTATCAGTGGCTGAAATAATATTATTAAAATGCCACAGGAACTCGGGTCATGCACGAGAGATGACACAGAGAAGGAACATGTTCTCCTCTAACTCCTCTGTCCTCACCTCCTTCCCTAGGTAAAGAGCCTGGCCTGTTTGACTTGGTCATTATTAACGATGATTTAGAAAAAGCCTATTCCGAGCTGAAGGAGGCACTCCTGGAGGTGAGTCGTTCGGGGCTTTTCTGCCTCGCTCCCCGGGCAGGCGTGACATCTAGGCTGAGCAGGTGAGGGCCTGTCCGTAGGCAGCCGCAGAAATGTGACCTCATGCCCGCGCTCGATGTGTTTCGAGCTGCTGAGTGACATGGTTGAGCACAGATCGCGTATGAGCGATGATGGATCAGCGGCCTAAGAGTGGGAAACGGATCCGGCGTGGTACTGGGTTAGGGGCAAAATAAGCATACATCGCTGGGCAGCACGGAAGGGGTGTGCTATTTCTGAAGAGCCTCTAGGTCAAACCTTGCCTTGTCCCTAAAGACTCCTGCGTAAGCTCCGGGCTTGGGCCTGTGGTGCTGCGGAGCTGGTCTGAGGAGGTGATCGCTCGCGGTCTCCAGAGCTGTGAAACTGAGTTGTTCCCGAAGAGCGGCAGATGCTCAGTTGTTTTCCTGATCTCCTTGCAGGAAATCGAGAAGACCCAAGAATCCAGGAAGTCCTGAGCTGAGCCTGCTTGGACGTTTTAACTTTGCACATCCTTCCTGAAGCACGTCACACCACTTTATTCCGAGAGACATTCCCTTTAGGCTGATCCTCCTCCCAAGTTACTCTAGGGTGTTTCTATTAAAAGGAAAGAAAACGAAACCCGGTCACGCCCGTGTTTCTGTTCGCCGCGCGCTCGGCGTGGCCTCTCCCGGGTGGGTACCTCGGGCGGGTGCTTGGGAAGCGATTGCGCGGCATCCACCGCCGAAGGGCAGAGCCGTTCTGCGAGGCTGTGGAGGAGCTGTCTGGGCAGCTGCGGCCCCCGGCACGCGGCTTAGGATCCCCCTGCAATATTTGTGGAGGTATGTGTGCCCGGCTAATGCCGCTCACAGGAGGGGAGCAACTTTGATGTGACCCCCCCCCCCCCCCCCCCCTGCAGACAGAGGGCTTCCCCTCTTTGCTGGCACCTGATGTCCCAAGTGTTGGCATCCTCTCGCTCCCTCTGGTTCCTGCTTCCTTTTGCAGACCTGGCTACAGCTCCTCCAGGCGTTTCCCACCGTCCGTGCCTGTCAGCCTCTGGGGTGTTCTGTTGTGTCGCTGTGGCAGAGCAGCACGCAGGCACGGCTCGACTGCTCTAACCGCAGTCCGTCTGAACAGACGGGTTTGTTTAATAAGCCGAGGGAAGGCAATGGTTGCGGGATGTGATCTCTCCGCTGTCCTTTTTTTTTTCTGGGGAAAAGTACCGCGAGCTTCTCCTCCTCTCTGCCATCCTGGCAGCAACGTAATTCACATGTACGTGGTGTTCCACTTGAGTTCAGGTGCAGGTAGATCTTCAGATGCTCTTGTACCTACAAGTTGGGGGAGAAAAGATTTCCTTCCCGAGCTGTGCAGCCTTTCTGGATGACATGCTTGAGGATAAATCCCTTTCCCTAGGAGGGATCCGTTTGATCTAGCCACTGTCCCTCGTACTGCTCTCCACTTGAGACGTGGAGAGCTTTGCCTGACGGGGCCCGGGGGAGGACGCTTTGCACTTCGCTTCCCCAGCTTTCTTCAGCCGTAACGTCGATGCTTTCGTGTAACTTCTGGGCCCTTTGGTCCCTCCAGCCAGGTCGTATCCTGAGCCTCCTTGGAGGGCTTGGTTCCTCACCGAGCCCCTATGCTCAAAGCACCCCGACCTTCACCGGAGAGACGAGCAGCGTCGCATCTGGTTACCTCCAGGTGGTTAACCTGGGTTTGGGCTGCAGGGAAGGAACAGTTGCCGCGAAGAGGCGTGCGGCACAGCCGCTGGCAGGGTCGCTTGTCCCAGAGCCCCTTCTCCTGGAGGAGGCGGGCGGTTTGCGTTTGGTCCTCGAGAGATGGCGAGTCCCGCGGAGCTGCCGTCCCGCAGGTGGTGGCTTCCAGCCGTCTGCCCCCAAACCGAACCCAGATCAAGCTGGCACCGTGCAGGCCGCGAATGGCTGGACCGTGCAACGCCAGGCCGCGGTACTTTCTCACCGAAACCACGTCTTAACCAGGGCGTGGTTGTACCTTAAGCTCAGCTCTTGGGTTTCATCCTCTTCCTATCCCGCCTCTCCAGTTTACCCAGCTGCTCTGCTCCAGCACACCTGCAGTCCCTCTCAATCCAGCTCCATCCTCATTTATCAAGCTCCACGTTGTGGGCACCGGTAAGCAGAACCAGACCTTGGCGAACCCTTTTAGTACCTCGCTTGCATTTGGAAAGATGAGAGTTGGTGATTATTTTTATCATTTGCCTCTGTTTGGGTGTTGTAAATATATCTTTTATAGATTATACTGTGAAATCCTCCTTTCCTGTCGTCATAAGTTTCGTGGAGCGAGGTTCTAGCTGCCGTTAAACGACCAGGAAAATGCTCCCCCAATTTTTTCTGGGGGTGTACCTGCCTCACAGCCTCTGGCTTTCCCCGCCCTGACGGTGTGAATCGCTGCGGCCAGGCTCTTCCTGCGAGTGATGGACGGTGATTTTCCCACCCCCCACCCCCCGAATCGGGGGGTTTCTTTACGTTTTGAGGGATGAATTTGCAATGGGGAAACGTCCCCTCTAGATGGCAGAAATGACAGCGGGAAAGCGTGGGGGACCCGGGCTGCAGAGCGGCGAAACGCCGAGGTGCGGGACGCGGCGCTGGCCTCAGTCTGGTGGTCTCCGGCCACCGCGTGGGACCTGCGGTGCTATCACCAGATG